TTTTATTATATAGAAAAGATGCTAGTTCGGTTTATTTCCGATGTCGCAAGTGCAACGTTAATACTTCGGCATTCGAAAGTACTTTAGAAGGTAAATTTGGTAAGGTATCGTGGGGAACGGTATTCGCTTTCGTCTGGCACCTCATTTGCATAGACCAGTGATGGGCAAACTTTTTAAAGAGCGGGCCAAAGGAAAAGAAGAAAACTTTAGGCGGGCCAATATAATTGTAACCTAGCGCTGCATCTGAAAATCCAGGTGTCGCTATAAAAACATGTGCAGGCCGTCCGCCATATTTTTTTTTTCTCTCTTTCGGCTACGCTACGCACGACGAGTGGATGTTCTGTACCGAAGCATGCTTGTAACCGATCGAGCTTTTACTCAATAAGTGTAAAACAAAATTTTGTACATGATTGTAAATAAACTTTCATGGTGAGATATAAAGCTTCGGTTATTTTATATAATCAACGAACACTCAAGTTAAGTGATTCATCAACCACCACAGCCTGTACTCTTTTTTACTTGTCAGATTAGGAATAATGTCGCGCGGGCCGGATAGAACATTTCAGGGGGCCGCATCTGGCCCGCGGGCCGTAGTTTGCCCATCACTGGCATAGACAGTTCGTTGAAGTCTTCGTGTTTGGCCGTTGCGGTAAGTTGCAGTACCGGTGTCGACTGGCTAATTTTGTTAGGCACGCGACGATGCTCTCTCTTTTTAATTTGACGAGTTTGAAAATTGGTGGCCCCCGGAAAGACTGCGGAAGTAGACGAGACGATGGCTAAGGTCAGAACATCTGCGGCGCCACCTGGATGATGATTGTGTAATTGCGGGTCATTTGATATATTTTCTTATCGTTTTGATCGGATAGCATAAGGAGAGGGGGTTTATTCAGTACGGTCTATCCTTGTAGTTGACCTTTTTGTTACCCTCTATCATGTAACAGGTGGAGGTTCTTGTTAACTGGCTACTTCTTTGTACATTTTAACGAAGGTGGAACTGAATAATCCCCTGTTGTGAGGGGAGAACTTTATCTGTCGTACTAAACGTCTTTGAAAGTCTAGAAGGTCACCTTTCGAAGTGACGCAAAAGTTCACTCGATGAGAAAAAAAAGGACGAGAAAAATTTATCGAAGCTCGAAATTTCACGCAAGAGCTCGAATTCTCACACTTGTAAGTAAACGGCTGAGGAAGTGAGGATAACCTACTAACCTTACTTTAACCTGAAACAGAAATATCACATAAACATATTTAAATTTTAGAACATTTTCTGTAAATGTGAACGTCGCAAAAAAGTCTACAGAGCGATGATAAACAGAAAATTATTTGTAACGAAAAAATCGACTAAACAATATATCGAAAAGTAATGAAATTCTGGTCACCATTAACGTGACTAGTGACATGTTCTACTAAGTACTATTTTTTCTTTATATTATTTTCAGTTTTAACTTGATATTTATCTCTTAATAATTGCAAAACGAGCAAATATTTATTGCGAACATGATCACAATGCCTGGATGCAACTTTTAATCTCATCTTAATTTACTTAATTTAAAATATATGCTCTCCATCTGAAATTAGTAGTCTCTTGTTCGAGTACATCATATTTTTTATCGTTTTTTTTTTCAATTTTTTCAAATTGACAATAGACTCTATATTATACTAGGGTGATAGAAATTTAATCTATAAACGTTAGGAATGGTATAGATTTTATTTTATAGATATTTACCGTAAGTTATAATTATAAACACATAACGTTAGATAGCATTTGCGCATCCAAGCCCGTTATGTTATAAAAATATAACAAACATTTTAAATATTCTAATCTGATTTAGATACTGTACAGTATACACTTTCATCAGTCGTACTCTACAGATTTTAAACGTAAGGGGTTTACTTAAAGATCAATTAATTTCTATTTAAATTTTACGTAAATTTATTTTATTTATAAATAAACACCTCAAAATGTCTCGGCATAAAACAGAACGAACGAATATTTTGCTTCTCTTCGCTGCTGGCTTTGTCTTCGTACGCAATATTGGATACTTCTTGCAAATGTTTTAATCGTTGTAATGATATTTATAAATAAACACCTCAAAATGTCTCGGCATAAAACAGAACGAACGAATATTTTGCTTCTCTTCGCTGCTTGCTTTGTCTTCGTAGGCAATATTGGATACTTCTTGCAAATGTTTTAATCGTTGTAATGGTAAATCTAAATCCAGTTGTTTTTTACGCTGATCGTAATTAATTAACATGCGATAAATAGAATCAACATTAAGCTTTCAAAGGGGTGAAGTAAATCATGACCTCCACAAACACTAACGTTTATACACACGGTAACTCCTCTCTTTTACATTTTTTGACTGTTGAAAATCTTGAGTCCAAAAATGTAAAAATGAAGTGGTTATTTTTTGACGGAACGCCATACTTTCCCTCATTTATATATAATTAGCAGGCCCCGCCACGCGTTGTTGTGGCTCAAAATGTATCTATTATAAATTTATAACACTTCCCCCGTGGGGGGGAATTTTTCGAAAAATTTCTTCTTAGTGTACATTCTGTTGACGTACCCTATTAAAACGCAATCAAAAACGCAAAAACCCGCATCTAAAATAGTACAAATAGAAGCAGAGTTCTTTACCGTAAGCCTTAACCCTAACCATCTCCCTTCAGTGGGTTTGAATTCCGACATGTATATTATATAAAATCACGCGCATATTCGAATGCATATAGTTGTGTCAAGATTTCAAAGGAATCGGTAGGAACAAACGAACATTACATTTTTATTTATATAAATAGAAGATGATCTGCTTTAGTTCATTTTCACAGAAAAGCGTAATGCCTCACAGAAAAGCAAACTTAGGGGGTCGTACTCGTAGCGTTATCTGTTGGACATAAAAGCCTTAACCTAGATTATATCTTTTAATTTAATTAATATGAATGTTTAACGGAATAATATACAGCCTATGTCCACCCTGAGGTTCCATTCTAAATATCGGTGAAAGAATTTTTGAAATCGGATGAGCAGTTTCGGAGATTACCTGCTGCATCCAAACTTACATACATACAAACATTACCTCTTTATAATATCAGTATAGATAAAGCTGGAAATGTAATAAATGTCATGCGTTTCAAAAATATGTGACAGATTGTATATACATGTACAGGAACACTGGGAAAGCTCTAAATTGTTCTGAACCACAAAAACAGAAGCATTTATACAATGCTTTAACGTTTAGTTTCATTTAATAAATACAATATGCTATATGGCACCTAGTATGTACTGTATTTTTTTCTAGAATCTCGTAAATCTCTGTATGGCTCTATTTATATTATTATTATCATTTTTGTTATTAATATTTATTACTTCCAACAATAAAGAAACTTCATATGCTTCTAGTTTACATGCGATAAGTTATGAAGCCAACAATAAAGTCTGTTTTATATGACAAGGACTATGTAATTGGCTTACTTACGTAGCTGCTTGTTATCTTGAAGTGCTGTTTCACCGGGATCAAATAGTTTGTGATCGTATTCAATTCACATGTTTTGTATTATGTTAAATTCTTTTATTGGGTGGCAATTTGAAAAAGTTGTAGACCTATAAATTTTCACTGTCTGTCCTCAATCTGGTGAACAAAGTTAAATAGATAAAAGTCGAGACTTGGTTTGATGGACTAATAGCAAGAGGCATGAATTAAATATACAGGAGCTTCAAATATAAACCGAAAGTTATATTATTTCGATTCAAATCTTTTCTCCTGAAAGGAATTAGATAGATGACCGGAATGACTCTTGCTACTAGGAAAAGTATGATGGAAAGTTGCTCGCTAACAGAAAAAGTAATACGAACAGTGCAAGTCACTAGTAATTTCAGGTGAAAAAAACATATTTCAAATTTAAAAAATTATAGCCCGGAATTGTGATGATGTCACAATACATAACTGCTAGTCATTTGTAACTATGATTTTAGCTATGTCACGCGACATTTTATAGTAAATAAATAGAAGGTTTTCTGTACTTTTGATTAAGTTATTCTTGAGAGCTTTCATATAACGTTTTTTTAAATCCTGTCCTAGACGTGAAAGAATATCGGTACTTTCTAAAGGTAAGCTTATATGGAATATGAACATTTGTAGTATCTGTTCACTTACTGTTAATATATTCACCGAGGTGACTAAGACTTTCATACCAGCAGCCCATTTTTAAATTGTATTAATAGTTTCGAAAATCGAAAAATCCATTTAACTTTTTCGGCTGTTATATATACATAATAAGGGAAATTATTGGAATCGTGTCAAATTTCACTGAGTTTTTTGCAAATCTTCAAGTTTTCCGACTTCTTGAACGCCCTAAAAGTCGAACAATACGGCAAAAAATACCTGAGTTATGTATCTCTGTATATGTGTGTATTTTTGTGTGTGTTGGAGAATGTGTCTGTTGGCATCAACTTCGTTTGATATATCAGAATCAGGTAAAAATTAAGAAAGGAGGAAATTTGTCACGCTAGCTTGTGTACTAGGGACATTGAAACTATTAAATTTCGGTCATTAATTAAAGGCCGAGGGTGAAGAGATACAGGTAGTCACGTGTCATATCTCGAATGGGATTGCACTTAACGAAAATTTTACTTCTTGGCATTTAGTTTCTATATAAAATTCATTACTACCTTAAAAATTAAGCGTTTTCATTTCATAATAATTAACGAAATTCTTGCACGTTGTGAAGTAGTAAAAATTAATTTAATCATTCTAAAGTTTAAACAAGTATAAAAATATTAAATATTTCCATAAGGTATAAAATGTTTGATAAATATAATTTGCAATGCTCAATAAAATTGGAAATGAAAATAAGTAGAATTTCGCTTCACTTTCAAAAGTTTATTTTACTGAAAGTCTCATACTAAATTACCACTGCAGGTAATAAATATTTCTTTTGGGTTTGTGTCATATCTACGCGTGAAATTACTAGCCTGATGATTAAACTACGTAAATTTCTTTTAGGTTCTGTCAAGCACATTTAATAAAGTTAAACATTCTCTTCACATTTTAAGTATGAAAATCTTTTTAAGGTATGTTTTCATATTTTTGTAGTTTAATAATTGAGTAAAAAGTTTAGTTTGCATTTATGTCACTAGTCTAAATTGTTAAGATAATTATAATTTAATAGAAATATTTGCTTTGTTATTGAATTTCAACTGTATTTTTCTTTTGTTTCCACATTTTTTCACTTAAATGCTGACAAATAACAGAGTTGGATTAATGCTTTTTCTAAGTGTTGAATATTACTTCTGTGCTTCTGAAAATTATGAGAACACGACAAGTAGAGGTAATAATAATGATGATTGTCTTTCTAAGTGAGAAAGTCGCTAACTGATAAAACTTTGTATAATTTTAGTAATTGAACGCAGGATGATTGGAGGAAGGGAGGCAGAAAAAGGAGAATTTCCATTTTTGGTGAGTTTATACCTGTAAACATTTCAGCTCTTTCAGCTGTACTTACAAGAAATGTTATTATAATTTAGGTAGCAATATTTAAAAAAGAAAGGTTTAAGGGTGCTTTTTCTTTAATCACAACAAAGACGTTAATAGGAGCAGCGCACGTTGTAGAAAAGTATGTTTGTTTCAATTTTTATTACAATTTTATCACCGGAATATTATTTGATATGCGAATGAATATTTTGATATAAATGAGACATGTATTGAATATGATTTAAAATTTAGTTTTTTTAATCTTCTCTCTGAACATAAGTACGAGTAACTTTATAAATAAGTTGCAATTTTTTTTTCCTCTAACGCACGTAAAATAGATCAGGGCAGAAAAAGCTAATCAAAAGAATAGGATAAGGTGGCATAGGCCTATATGCATAACAATACAATGTAAGCTCGGATTTCGAAGGCTTCGTTTTTTGAACAATTCGGTTCACGAACAAAATTTATGACTTATTTAGGCTCGGTTGCCGAACACTACTCAGCAGATCGAGAGATGATTAACTTTCTGTGTTAAAGGAACTCGAAGGCTCGACCAATCAACGGTAGGACTACGATGGAAAAGTTTGTGGAGCCGACGTAGCCTCGCGTAATTAGACGTCACGATAGGAATCATCGATGAAATTGCTATTTAAATTATATTTCCTGTCGCATGCGGAATAAATACTGTTTTCGTTTTTCGATACGCGCCGCAGTCGAATCTATATTAAATTAATTAATAAATTTTAATCAAAATTAAAATCGAATTATTGAAACATAATATTTCGGTAATATAACGTTTCGATTTTAATATATATATATATATATACATAGCCTATATAGAGAGAAAGAGAAAGAAAGGCATTTTTACGCATGAAATACATCTATCGAACAAAAACAGGGGGGTATGTTTTCAAAGTCAGGAACAGATTAATCAATTTTAATATGCATAAAAGCTTCACTTTTGACACGGTCTACAATATAAAAACATTGTTTTTTCTTTTTGTTAATAAGATTTAAAATAAAATGTGTTTGATTCAATTGGATACTTTAGCTGGTTTTTGTGCTTTTTCAACTACTGTATTACAATATTAATTATGTAGAAGGTGGTAAACTAATTAAAGATCACATTTTTATAAATTATCTCAAGATAGCTCTACTTTCGCCCACTACTGTATGGCAACGATAGTAACAATTTAGAATGGAAAATAGTTCAATGCACTTCATATTTACTACTTTATATTGATTAGAGATAAGTATTCAAGTAAAAGTTTGGCCGAGTGGACTCCGTCTCCGCTTAATGGTGGTGACCAGACCCTAAACACCGGAGTTCGATCGGGGGGGGGGAGAGGTTCGCGCCTCACTCGGACGAGCTGACAGCTGGAATTTTTTCGGGTTTTTCTCCTTGCCAATGACGCCTGAATAGGGGCCAGCCTTCGAAGTCCTCCCGGAAGGCATGCTGTCTCCCTTTCTCGCAGGGGTCGTCTCTTATTAGGCCGATTTTTGGTCGTCTTCTGTAAGACCGCCTCTTCCTCACTGTTTCTTCTGGAGTGAAAAGCGGATAGCAATAGCACTCCTCTATCATCCATGAAATGAAATGATTCAAGTATAAGTTAACCACATGAGAACGGAATACCTAAAACTAAATTATTTCACCAATCAAATGAACGTTACAACTGCACAGATAAATGATTCAGTGTTTATTGCAATTGCGTAGTTCAATCAGGCACAGTATTTAATTCATAAAACTAGATAATTGAAAAAATTTTTAAGATTATGTACCAGCTATTAAAGGAACTTATTATGTAATGTATAAACTTTGTATACGAAATTTTGACAGCTCCAAAGACAGATAAAAACGAAAACACACAAAACAAAAATATAATCATAGATAGTAAACTCAGTTGCTGATAAATACAGCGGAAACACAGTATTATGATACAAACAACAATTTTTACAGAAGCATGGTATAAATGTACAAAAATAATGTAATGAATGACGTAGGGTTTAGTTAGAAGAAGCACTAGGAAGGCCTCCTTCAAATGGCTGACATAATGTGAGAAACCGTGAGCCAAGGGTTAATCCCTTTTGACCACTTACTCGGCAATAGTCTGAAAAGACCGCTTACGTTGCCGTTCCGGATGGCTGTTTATCGAGTGGCTAGGGAGACGGGGAAGGCGGCAGGCGTCCTTTCAATGACAGGAAACAGGTTTAACAAAATAGCAAAGCGTTTATTTGAGTAATAAAGCTAGGATACATGAGGCGATAATAATATTAAAAGTAAATGCGGTTAATGAAGTAACTATACAAAGGCCGCTCTTAACCGTTCTAACAGCTATTCTAAGAGAAAGATTTCACAAAGCTCTAAAATACAAATACCTCTATGAGGATATGATAATATGCGTTCGTTGAATGGGCCGTAAAACTCATAGTCGGCGCAGGGACTGTAGTTGTGGCGATAAGTACCGAAGTTCGAAGTTGTCTGTCGTATGGCAATGTCCTTTCGGTCGCTACGTCCGGTGTATGGAGACAAGATGCACACATTATTAAGTATAATTTTCTTTCGTCGCTTTGTGCTTCCGGGAAAGTCGAGCTTGTATACGTTCTTCGTGGGAAAAGAGTCACGTGATATACTTCTGTTGACACTAACGGTGCATACCGATCAACCAAGTGTCAACTTTCCCACCTAATTGTGAAAACAAACGGTGACCTCCGATATATTCTCACCAAGAGCGGGTTTTTCCCATCGGAGTTGTTTACAAATGTTTTTCCGACAACTACGTAAAAATCGCGGATCTCACAATAATATATGAATCAGATTAATATAGTAAGTAGTTTCGAAAGGCAAACTCACTTAAAAAATTGACCATATCAAAGTAGAATTGAAATTTCTTGGCTACAATAGATATTTTAACATACAAACGGGAACTCACTGCCAATTTCTGACAAAGCTGTTATCAGAAGGAGCAAGTAGAAGATTAAAAAAAAATGTGATTACAAACCGCAAAAGTAATGTAATAATATTTTGCTTTATTCTATTGTTTCGTCTAATGATTATTTTTTTCATTTTCGTTTTTATTCAGATATGTCGTCAAAGATTATTACGGAAGAATAGGAGACGTTAACAAAAACGCAGGGAAGAAAGTGCTGTTTCGGAGAAGGATTATACACGGACGTTATAATTCAGAAAATTATAATAATGATATTGCACTTCTGATTCTCGCACGCAGTATTAACAATATATCTCCGATTGCTTTAGTTGGAAAAAACGTAAGATTTACTAAAGGTTCCGCCACGTTGATCGGTTGGGGAAGAATTGGTTTCAGTAAGTTTGTTATTTTTCTGTATTATTTAGTCTTGTACAACAATAAAAATAATATGAATGACATTCTATGTAATTTTGAAAAAGATGAAAGAACAGACCTTCTTCATGTAGCGAAAGTGAACTTAGTAGATCCAATATACGTGGCTTGTAAATTTGGCTACGAATTAACTTACAAAGAAATTACAGCACTGTCATCTAGAGTAAAAGCCATTAGTGTAAAGCAGTTATTACTTTTCACATTATGGTTATAGTTAATGTACCCTGTTATTTATAAAAGTTTTATTGTTACAGGGAGATTCTGGCTCACCACTGATCATGAGAGATGCGTTAAAAAGACCAGTGCTTATTGGCATTTTCGCTAACGGCGGACATAATACTGGAGAACCAGATATATACATGTCAACCAGTTTTCACCATGATTTTATAAAAACTCACAGCGTCGGACGACTCACATACCTACACGTATAAAATTAAAATATGAAAATATCATGGTAAATTTTTCATTTTAGAAAATATAAAATCTAATTTTATTCGCAAATAGAATTAGATTTTATTAGAAATTGAATAAAATTTCGTATTTCAACAGTATTTAACAGTGGATATATTTTATTTCCATGCCTGTATCACTTCAACAGCTTTTTGTATTAAATAATCTTATGTATTTATTTATTGTATAAATTACATAATTAGATTACTTTAAATAAAACCTTAAAGATCCATGTAAAATTTTTAAAGTGTCACGAATTTACATTATGTATGTACTTACACTACGAATCTCCACGCTATTTTACATATTTATTACATTTAGTGCTGTTAAAATATAAGCAACTAGCTGTTACCCGCGACTTCGACCGCGGAGGTTTTGCAAGCAAACCCCATTTATATTCAGTATTTCAACAACCATAGTAATTGTTATATAACACCTATCGCTGAGAATGATGAGAATGGCCGAGAATGAAACGAACTATTTTCAATTTGATCAATTTTCTGGAACGTTTACAATCGTTCTGTAATCGAACCACTATGCAATAACAAATTCGAATCTAAAACGGTTCGAACATTTTTAACATCGAAATAGATAAAATTATTTATAACAATATCTGAAATGTTATTAATTTAATACACCTAAGTACTCGATGAAAACTAAATCCTCCCCTCTCCCGCCCGCGGGGGAATTTCGAAAAATTCCTTCTTAGTGTGCATTGCCATGGCATACCCTACTAAAACGCAGATAAAAACAAAAAATCGCATCTAAAATAGTAGAGTAGAAGCCGTTTATCCGGTTAAGACTTAATCCTCTCCCTCTCCCCCCGCGGGAGAATTTCGAAAAATCCCTTCTTAGTGAACGTTTTCATGACGTACCCTAACTGTGTATCAAATTTCATCTCTTTTTACGTTCAGCGGTTTGCTCTGGGCGATGATGAATCAGTGAATGCGTCAGTCAGTCATGACAAGCAATTTTCTATATATAGATTATTAATCTCAAAACACACTATGGCCGTTGGATTTTTTTCAACTGCCAGAAAAGTACAAAATAACAGAGAAACGAGAACACCAAAAAAAGTCTTTGACTTGCAAATACGTTGATTTATCGGTTAGAACAGTGGTTCTCAATTAGTTTTTTCTACGTACCACTTCAAGAAAGAGCTCAAACTCATGTATCCCTTATAGCAGAAATTCATTTTAATCCATACTAATATAAATTCGAACGTAATTCTGACTGTCTGTCTGTTACTTTTTCGCGTCTAAACCGCTGAACAGGTATTAATAAAATTTGGCACAAAAATAGCTTACATATTGGAGATCGACATAGGCTATATTTTGCTGCGAGAAAATATCTTACTCTCACGAGAAAATTCCATATGATGCGGGCGAAGCTGTGGGTAGACAACTAGTGATAAATAGAATACGTTTTTTTTAACCTTTATTGCCTTTAAAATATGTACAATTTTAATAATAATGAAAATAACATTTTCATTATTATTAAAAAGATTATTTAATTTTAATGTGACAAATGTGCACGATTTTCTTTGCACAACTTTGTAAAATCTGGTTGCTATTTGGTCAGCTTCAGTCTCGAGTCATCTTCAAGTTGAAGTCGGTGACGATGTTTAGTTTTCATGTTTGTCATGGTTGAAAATCCGCTCTCGCAGTTGTATGTTGTGCAAAATGGTAATAAATATTTTATTGCCGCTTCGCTGACATCATAAATTCTAGCCCGATTTAAAAGCGACATGTCGCAACTGATTATTGAACTCAGTGTAGTTTCATTATACTCTGCGAGAAGTCGCGTTGTCACGCACGAGAAATAACAGCGACAAAAATTTTCAAAATTTATTTGGCGGAAACAAACTGTGTTAATTGTACAATTTTTGTTTCTTGCGTAAGAATTTCATTTAGGGATTGTCACAAATGCATTTTTTGATGAAATTTAGAAAATATTTTTAGTTATAAATAAACGAATTTGTGCATTCGACATCATGTTGTAAATTGCCGAATTTTTTATGGTCCACCCATTAATGTTTTTATTGCTTAATCTCATGCATTTAAATTTTAAATCGACCGATTTTAGATTGCCGCGCGTACCCTTTCATGCAATTTTGCGTACCCCCAGGGGTACGCGTACCACTAATTGGGAACCACTATGCTAGATGAAGTATTTAAGTTTACTACAGCTTTACATGCGCTTTACATAAAACATCGCTTTTTTCTTTTTAAATCGGCTCGAAGGTTGCCGCGTGCGATGATTCGAATGATAATCGGCTCAAAAGAAAGTATTCGATTCTCAACGTCCGGCTTAGTATTTATAGAAAAGCCCGAGGAACAGCCCATTAGGGGCATCGAAAACGTTTGCTGACATATAACACAACCACTCCGGTTACAAAGTTAAAAGTAAGAGTTTTATTTTTATTACATTCCGGTGTGTGGAGATGAATAAGTAAAGTCAATTAACGATGAAAATAGCATTTTTTATACATTTAAAGGTTAAAATTCCAAATTTCCAATGATTTTTTTATATTAAGAATTTACATGAAACTAAATTATATTAATTAACAGCAGTGTTACTGTAGATAAAGTACAGTATAAAAATCCTCAATACTTTTTGATTTAAAAGGCATTTATCTCGAACCAAAGTAGCCGCTTAATTTCGCAATTCTTTCGAATGACAAAAATGCATCATCAACGTCATCCGTGCTACGAATGCAATAACAAATATTTTCCTCTTATCATTGTCACTAGAAACCTACCATTGACTGTAACTTGTGAAAATAAAATTCCAAGATTTTCGCAGTCTTTACAGTAATTTTATAATNTGAAAATTGATCCTTTTTTATCACCAGGGAAGTCGTTGGATCGTCGAATGGACGAGAATTAAAAGCTTCAATTGTTATTAATCATTCAGAGGTTTCTTATACGTTAAAGGTATTGTCATGGAATAGTCAAGGTTCATTGTTTGATAACTTTTCTGATAAGTTTTGTTGATTTTGTATCATCATATCATATTGTTGGTATAACTGAATCATGGATGACATTTTCGGTGAAAACCTTTCTTTCATCATTGGAATCCCAATTTTATTTTACTGAAATGTTAGCTCATAAACTTGAGGGACCTGGAAGACCGTCTGGAGGCTTGTTTTTAATGGTTTCTTGGAAACTTGGTAAGTTAGAAATTTGTCATCTCTCTGATAACATTATTATGGCTAAACTTACATTTGATAAACTTCTGTTTAAAGATTGTCCTGGGCTCTTAATTGTTTTGATTTATATGTCTATTCAAAAATATGATTCGTTGATCGAATATCTTGATCGAATATCTTGATAGATTGATTTTGGATTTTAAAGATGATGATGACATTCTGATCTTTGGTGATTCTAACGCTAGAATTGCCTTCGAAGTAGATATGTTACCGGCAAAGTATGAAAAGCCGGCATTCTATAGAATACCTAGGCATTGTATATAATGCCTGGCGTTTTTAGGCAATCTATGAAATATGAGAATTATTACATACTTTCCCTAGGCATTGTATATAATACCTAGGCATTCTATAGAATGACAAATGCTATTTAGGCAAAGTATGAAAAAAGGTTCTGATAAGGCTATTATATAAATGACGTGCATTCCTCAAAAATACAAATGTTATTCTGAAAAAATAATGAGAGTGCCATNTTCGAATTTGTTATTGCGTATTGGTTCGATTATAGAACGATTGTAAACGTTTCAGAAAATTGATCAAATTGAAAATAGTTCGTTTGATTTTCGGCAATTCTCTTCAGCGGTAGGTGTTATATAACAATTACTATGGTTATTGAAATATTGGATGTAAATGGGGTTTGCTTGCAAAACCTCCGCTGACGAAGTCGCGGGTAACAGCTAGTATATATATATAAATCTTATGCTCAAGCAAACAAATAGATAACATTCTTTGGAAATAATATAATTGTAATAAACATACTTGATAAAACAGTAGAATAACTTCTATACAAAAGATATTCAATAGAGCACAAACTAAAAGCAGAAATTTGAATGATTGTCTCTTTAATCTGAATAAATAAATAAATCTGGTAACTTCCTACATCTATCAGGTTAGGTACTCCTTTATTTCAATTTACAAATGCATGTCGGGCCTATCCAGTAGCTAAGCCCCTTATCAGTGTAATGCTACAGATATTAAAAGGAACAAAAAGTTAGTAAATTCACAAATATTCATGCGCGAAGATGATCGTTACAGACATAAAAATAATTTTTCACATACCTCAGAAGGCAGAACAGTGCTTTTCAAATTATACCGGTACACTTAAATGGTACTGCTAGATATGTTTTTCCATATAAAAACATGAGTGTATATCAGGTGACAATAGTACAAAGGTTTAGTAAAAATTACGTTAAAATCAGTAGATATACACTTTTTACAAACTCGCAGCACTATAGTAACAACACGACATTTTCTGAGATATGACTATACCATGCAAGGTATTTTTTATTAAAACATGGTGTATACTTTAAAAACTATCGAAATAACTGTAATAAAAGTAACACAAAGATAAGTAAATAATTTAACAATTATAAAAAACCATACATACATAATGTTTTCATTTCTATTATCCACAGTATTAAGTTTGTCACTCACACACGACACAACCATTATATATTACTTATTCTAGTCACGTCCTCTATCATGTTATACCCCTGTTTATCGATTTGCATACTGTTAGATAGATTCACTAAATTATCATTACTATATTTTATTTCAATATGTTCCTTGAATTTACATTTATATGTTTTTTTCTCATAATGAAGTATTTTTATGTTGCTTCTGTCAATCTGACAATTACTATTACTTGTATAAATATAAATTCAATTATTAAAAAACAATGGGATCGATATATATTGAAGCACTAAAAATAAAAATTTTAGTTAAAAAAAAAACCAAGTAAAAATATACTATCTCTATTTCCGACTTTGAGGATTCTATAGGTCAAAACTGACAAACAAGTGACAAGGAATAACTAGACTTTATTATTACCATTATTATTTTATTATTGATACAATCCAAATGCATTTCGCCATCATGCCTCTTCAGTGGATAATAGAGAGAGTATATTTTTACTTGTTTTTTTAACTAAAATTTTTATTTTTAGTTCAGTAGACCACCTATAGCGTGGATTCCTATAACGCAGCAAAAAAATTGTGACGGTATTTGTATAAAGACGCTA